ATGGTCAGCGCTGCAGGGGCGAGGAGGGATATACTTGGAGGTCTAAAACCAACAATTGAACCTCTCTATTTAGTGGACAACATTTTTGGGTCCAGTGGTCAAACATCTATTGTACTACTATATTTACAACAGCTGCATGTGCAGACACTAGAACAAAATCCCAAATATTATATCACTTGTAAGCAGACAGTTTACATTGTATTTTTGTTAAAATAGCCTTTATCTGACAGGTCTGAAATTTGAATTTGTTCTCAGTATTCAATTGGGGATACCAGTATTGAAAGTTTTGTATCCCCCCTGAGAATCCAATCGATCCCACTTCTGACTGGATACTGGTTACCATAAGTATTATACCCTAGCTGTTCCATCCAAATAAGGGAGTAGCCATTATTTATGGGGAGGGGGGTTGGTAAATGGGAGAGGGGGGGGGGCAAATGACATTTTACCCTTATGAATAGAGGGGGTCAAAAAAGTTTTAACCTATATAGAGAAAGGGGGGGTCAAAAAAGTTTTTGAACTTGAATACCATGCATGACGACCCGCACGTTTTGAAAAACAGCGGGATCTGCAAACTGAGTTTGCAACTTCAGGAAGCGAGCAACGCTAATCGCATTATTAATTACCGCTATAAGATGTCATCAATCCAGGTTCAGTTGGTTAGACGCTGTGTGAAACCAAGCAAGTAATAAGTTAATTTTCTGTTATGCATTAAAATAAAAGTGTACAAATATGTCACAATGCTGACTGTTGACAAGTCACCTAGGGTCAGGCTATACTATATAGCGTACAATGTGTAATAAGGCTGCGTATAATATGTAATATTAAGACTTGTGTGTTGTAAAACAAAACGTTCTTGGTATCTTAGAGAATAGCACGATAATTCCATGTCAAGACCGCGGAACATATTTGCCGTTTTAGATCTTGGCAGTATAAAAGTCCGGCTTCAAAGGCGTAAGTTTTCTATGGCTAAATAACTGAAAGAAACTGACTTATAAAGTTATATAATTATACCGCCTTTCCCTATAGGCCCTAGTGCGCACATGAATCTTGTACAAACGTTTTCACTAACGTATATATCATATGTATATATTATTCCAAAAGCAATAGCTGCATTGACACCATTGTCTTAGCTAATCTACGGAATCTACGCTCGCGCCTGAGTTGTGAGGTAAAGAATAATATAAGACTCCTTTTAAGCTTCCACTGGTTAAGAAAAGATGGGACATCTTCATAACCTGTCAGCAAAAGATGGGACATCTTTCTGACACAAGGGTTTCCACTAAAAGTATTCTAGATATTATTCCCAAACCTAGCGCTATCGCTGCATGCAGCCATGCACCGTTTTACTCTAACTTAGCGTGTTGTAAAGAATAATGTAAGACTCCTTTTAAGCTTCCACTGGTTAAGAAAAGATGGGACATCTTCATAACCTGTCAGCAAAAGATGGGACATCTTTCTGACACAAGAGTTTTAACTAAAAGTATTCTAGATATTATTCCAAAACCTATAGGTCCTATAGCGCAAGCTGCATCGCCTTACTCTAACTTAGTCTGATGTAAAGAATAATATAAGACTCCTTTTAAGCTTCCACTGGTTAAGAAAAGATGGGACATCTTCATAACCTGTCAGCAAAAGATGGGACATCTTTCTGACACAAGAGTTTTCACTAAAAGTATTCTAGATATTATTCCAAAACCTATAGCGCAAGCTGCATCGCCTTACTGTAACTTAGCCTGATGTAAAGAATAATATAAGACTCCTTTTAAGCTTCCACTGGTTAAGAAAAGATGGGACATCTTCATAACCTGTCAGCAAAAGATGGGACATCTTTCTGACACAAGAGTTTTCACTAAAAGTATTCTAGATATTATTCCAAAACCTATAGCGCAAGCTGCACCTCCTTACTCTAACTTAGCGTGATGTAAAGAATAATATAAGACTCCTTTTAAGCTTCCACTGGTTAAGAAAAGATGGGACATCTTCATAACCTGTCAGCAAAAGATGGGACATCTTTCTGACACAAGAGTTTTCACTAAAAGTATTCTAGATATTATTCCAAAACCTATATAGCGCAAGCTGCATCGCTTTACTCTAACTTAGCCTGATGTAAAGAATAATATATAGACTCCTTTTAAGCTTCCACTGGTTAAGAAAAGATGGGACATCTTCATAAGCTGTCAGCAAAAGATGGGACATCTTTCTGATCCAAGAGTTTTCACTAAAAGTATTCTGGATATTATTCCAAAACCTTGCGCTGTCGCTGCATGCGCCGCTTTACTCTAACTTAGCGTGATGTAAAGAATAATATTTAAATATTATAGACTCCTTTTAAGCTTCCACTGGTTAAGAAAAGATGGGACATCTTCATAAGCTGTCAGCAAAAGATGGGACATCTTTCTGACACAAGAGTTTCCACTAAAAGTATTCTAGATATTATTCCCAAACCTAGCGCTATCGCTGCATGCAGCCATGCACCGTTTTAGTCTAACTTAGCGTGATGTAAAGAATAATATAAGACTCCTTTTAAGCTTCCACTGGTTAAGAAAAGATGGGACATCTTCATAACCTGTCAGCAAAAGATGGGACATCTTTCTGACACAAGAGTTTTCACTAAAAGTATTCTAGATATTATTCCAAAACCTATAGCGCAAGCTGCACCGCCTTACTCTAACTTAGCCTGATGTAAAGAATAATATAAGACTCCTCTTAAGCTTCCACTGGTTAAGAAAAGATGGGACATCTTCATAACCTGTCAGCAAAAGATGGGACATCTTTCTGACACAAGAGTTTTCATTAAAAGTATTCTAGATATTATTCCAAAACCTAGCGCTATCGATGTGGCATACTCAAAATTTGATATGAAACAACTATAGCCACAAAAAATTGGATATTGTCAAATCTGAAAGCCAGGGGTACGGCTCATCTCCGCGTTTACTCATCACTAGCTCGCCCGGGAAATACTCTGGCGATGCCCAGCGTAATGTCTAATGAAATCAAATTTAGTTCAATGGGCCATTTTAGACTAATTTTCGATTCTTTTGAAAATGCTTACGCAAGTTTAATTTAAACGCTGATATCTCACCAGTCAATATTTCGTAATACGGTGATATCTCATGTATAACCTATCAGCCTTTTATGAATACAGCTACATTTATTTGAGCGACGTATAGCGTTTATAGTTTTTTCGCTATGGTATAGATCAAACGCCTGAACTTTTTTTGCGCCACCCGGTTTATATATGTAAATAAATATTATTTGTCTTGTTGCTACCTTGTATAGGCCTATCAAAATATAGAAATAAGTAGCTATATTAAATAACAAATATAGTACAATCAACTCGCGGTTGTGATAGCCCTGCTTGAAAGCCGTGGTAACTAGCATACTGTATACTAAAGAAATAATAACTGATTGCGTGCTGCAATACCTATAGGCTGTAGCCTTTTGACTATTACCTAACCTTACTGATTGAAAATACTTCGCATTAATTATTATTCTTTAATAAGCAGCCATCAAAATATTGCCAGTTTGATCGATCTTGTTCTCCATCCTGAATCCATACACAAGTCAAGCAGAATGCATGCACTCTTCTTCAGACTACATTTTGGCGCAATTTGAACTTTGCGCGGCATTGTCTGCTAATTAACATTATTAGGAATTGGTGATGACAACCTGGTTTGTATGTTAGCTCAGTTAGTTATTTGCTACGTCATATCTATGGGGTTAAATTTCATGCACGCATAAATTATTTCACTATAAATTCATTATACATGTCACCACTCTTACCACCTCGACTAATAATGCTGTGGTAACCAACACCTTCAAGATAATTCAATTTATAGGCGTGCGGGTCGTCATGAGGTGGTGGCCTGTTTGTACTATTATTATCACTATTTTCCTGTTGCCTTCCTTGTGCAACCTGTAAGTTTATATTTTCCTGAGAGGCTGACGCCATCTTGGATATTGAGTAATGGGGAAATGTGGAGTGTGGACTGGGTCTCATATTAAGGTGATTACCTTACTAACTACAGTAGTCAACGTAGTCACAGAATAGGAAGTTATACCAGAAGCGTAACTCGAGCAAATATTTGTCCGCGTTTTTACAAGCGATTCGTCATCAATCACGCCATCCTGGCTAGTACAACCGGCACTTTGTACCTACCAAATCCTGATAAAAACTTCCGGCTGTACTAGCCAGGATGGCGTGGCCTGACGTAGGCGAGTTAAAATTTGCGTGGACGTCAAACAATAAGGGAAACGACTAGAGTTACGCTTCTGGTATAACTTCCTATTCTGTGGCGTAGTGTTGTTTAACAATCACTTCCTGCAAGTGTTTGGACAAAATTCTAAAGAACAAGTATAAAGAAAACTAAAAAAATTTTCACATCTTTAGCATTTTGCTCTGAAACTTAGACATGTCTGGCAATTGTCTGCAGATTATGCTAGCAGTGCTTTTTTCTAAAAAAATGCAAAATTATGCTTGTTTACCCAAATTATGCTAAAAAATATGCTAGCACAATCGAGAAAAGCCTAGTTGCCATGGAGTGCGGGTGATTGCAATCATCGTGAGTTGATACTGAGAAGGAAGTTGCGGGTGGGTTAAAGGTTAATGAAGGCGAAACAGGACTTTTGTGTGAGTGTTTAAGTTGTAAGTATATTACAGGAATGTTAATACGGCGGTTAAATGTTAGTTTAATTATCTATACTATGCCACGCTTCTTTAAACTCACGGGCATGTTTCGTAGTAGCTTGTCCTAGGCATCTCGTTTGAGACCAGTCATGTGCAAATTTGTGTCCGTTATCGTCTGCGTGCTTGGCTGGGAGAGAATTATGGTCATGTCTGTTAATGGCGTTTTGATGTTCGGTTAATCTTGTCTGAATTTCTTAGACGTTTGTCTAAAGTACTTGTCGGGGCAGTTTTTGCAAGTAAACATGTAAATGGCGTTATGTTTTTCGGTTACGTTGGTTTTGTCTTTATGATTAGTGAACTTGGATCTAAGTTTGCATGTTGGTTTGTGAGCAATGTCGATGTTGAACGGTCTGAGAAGTCTAGCTGTCATTTCCGACGTGGTGTTTATAATATAAGGAAGGTCGATCCGCTTTCTTGTTTGGTTTGGTTGTTCTGTGTTAGTTTGTTTTCTATGTGATAGTATTTTGCTGACAAAGTCCGAGGGGTAGCCATTCTTGTGAAAAATAGAGTATAAGTATTTGCGTTCGTCTCGTTTAGATTCCTCAGTGCTACAGTGTGTGTCAATTCTGTTGAAAAGTGTTTTTATGCAACTAATCTTGTGTTGTGTTGGGTGGTTGCTATTGTAATTTAATATTTGGTCTGTGTGCGTTTTCTTGCGATATACTTGTGTGTTTAAGGTGCTGTTGTCAGTTCTTGTTATTAGTACGTCTAAAAATGCGAGTTTATTGTCGTGTTCTTCCTAGCTCTTTAGTAAACTTGATGTTTTTGGTCGTGTTGTTGCATGAACGTTTGTATAAGATGTCGTCTGTTTTGTCTTTTTTAACAGTAGCGAATACATCATCAACATACCTGTCCAATGTTTTGATGTCATTGTTATTTGTCACAGCTTTATTGTCCAGGTCTTGCATCACTGCTTCAGCAAGGAAACTGGAAAGAGGTGACCCCATTGGAGGGCCGGAGATTTGTCTGTAGTAATTGTTTTGAAAGCAGAATTTAGTTGAAAGACAGGTCAAGTAAATCGAGAATGTCTTGTATATTAAGTTGTGCGTGTGATTGCCATGGGGTATTGTTAGTAAGTAGTTTTCTGGTTATTTGTCTTGCTGTGTCAAGAGGAATAGAAGTGAATAAGGAAACGACGTCAAAGGAAATCATGATTTCATCAGGTTCAACTCTGAGATCTTCTATTTTCGACAGAAAGGCTTTGGCATTATTGACAGAATGAGGTGATGACTTAATCAGAGGTTTGAAAATGTTATAGAGAGATATTTCGATAGGTTGTATGTAGGGAATCCAGGAAGAAAAATAATTGGTCGGAAAGGGTTATTCTCTTTATGTATTTTTGGAAGTCCATAAAATTTAGCAATAGTTGCGTCGTTGGGTCTGACTCGATTATAAATTTGTTTGCTTAGTTTGTCTTGGTCCTTGAGGGTTTTAAGTTTCGTGTTAATTTGGTTCACTGTAGTTTTACTTGGGTCGGTGTCAAGTGGCTGATAAGTGTTAGTGTCATTAATAGGGCCATTTATACGAGACAAAATAAGACGCGACTTACATAAGACGCGACTTAAAAAAGCGGAGTTATCGCATAAATGGTTCTCTAGAGCTTTATTCTTATTTACTTGCTATAGCTATAATGTTGTTTCGGTTTTGTTTTTTTTAATATGCAAGGCTAATAATTTTAAGTTGTTTCAAGTTTCTGGCATGTGTAGTTAAACTTTTTGTCCAAAATTTCTTATTTAAGACGCGACTTAGATAAGAACAGCTAAAAGGCCTGTTCTTATGTAAGACGCGTCTTATCCAAGACGCGTCTTACATAAGAATTTTGTACCTTTTATACGACAAACTCGCGTCTTATTTAAGTCGCGTCTTATGTAAGTCGCGTCTTATTTTGTTCCGTATAAATGGCCCTAATGAGTGCTTTAGCTTTATTAGTATATATATATATATATATATATAGGCGAATGGCAATAAGTATATTGAGTGTCGAATCATATGAATAGAGTGCTCGATACGAAAGTAGAGCAAATAAAAGACAAACTTGAGTTACTTCGTTTCAAACATTTATTCACGACAAATTTGTTTCGTATGGCAAACTATAAGCTTGCCACACTCATCAGGTGAATGATAATATCGCGTATTTATATGATGTTATAACCTATAGGTAACTTGAGCTATTATACAAATGTTTGACGTCATTAGGAAAGCGTAAATATATGTAACCTGAGCTATTGGCTGCAGAGCAGGAACTTTTTCCTGTGCCTACATGCGGATATTAGTTCGTTTCTTGAGTTCAAAGAGCTTAATTTAGGATAGTAAATTATAATAAACTTTTCGTGCAGGCATAATTTACAGCGTTTTGTTTTGCTTGAGTAGGCCTTACATTTCTTTAAAATTTTCCAGCGGATAGAGTATTCTATGTTGGATTGTTTCAACTGCCAAATATATTTACTCAGTTCGGTTGAATGTTTATGTTCCGGGTTCCTGAACGAGCTTGTGTGGTTGTAATATCTCACTTTAAATGGACCCGCTGTATGTCCAACGTAGGTTTCTTTCTGTTGGTTGTCTCCTCTCGTTGCTGTAGCCTGGTATACACGACGCTTTTGGTTAAACATTTGCCAGGGAGGGGGCAGGAATATTCCTGGCGGCAATTGCACTTCCTATCGGGATTTTTAGTTGCCTCGGGCTGCTTGCAATCGAGTACGGTTCTGTTGTGTGCCGTGATGATATTGTGCACATTGGGCATACAGCTGTAGCTTAGCTTAAGCTTGTTCCTATTGAATAGCTTATGTAGAGGATGGCTGGGTGGAAAACATTCATCTATAGCCTGCAGGAATTTGTGACCAATGTCGGTGGCAACGTTGGCGCTGTAGGGAGGGTTAAACCATATCACATTTCTGTTTCTATTACGTTTAGACTTTGGTGGCTGGGGATTGTAATTGAGGACGTAGTTAAAACCGCTCTTTTGCAGGGCTTCCTGATATGGAGGCGAAGCCGACTCGAAGGATTCTTTATCAGAGGATATGTTTGAAAGTCTCTTGTTGATAGCGTCTGGTATGCTGCGTAGTATTGGTGGCGGGTGGTTGCTGTTGTGGTTGATATATAGCGGTGTATTTCCGGGTTTCATATATGGCTTGTAAGATGACGATCTGAGATCAAGTGTAATGTCTAGGTAGTCAACGCATTTTTTGTTGACTTCGATGGTTATTTTCAAGTTATTGTCACTGAAAACTTTGCAAATACTTTTCTTAATTATCTCGATTTCGCGTGGTGTTTTGTCACAGGCTGCGAGACTGTCATCTCTGTACAGACCGATATCGTTGCCGTACTCTGCCGTTAGTTGTGACAGAAGATAAGATCCCACTAACTTGCATGTCTCAGCCCCGTCAAAGCTACCCATGGTTACATCGAAAAGTGAATCGGCTGATGTTTTCTTTCGCCAAGTTGTACTTCTGTTGAAGAGCAGCGATTGCTTTGCTTTCATGATAATGGCTTTCTCATTTTCGGTTATTTCGTCGTATTGTGAGGCGAATGCTAGGGATTCTTTCAGGAGCTCTTCAGATATGGATGGATAGAAATCTACTATATCGAAGCTGATAAATGAGCGGGTTGATAAATGAGCGGGTCCAACAAAGGACTCGTTTATTACCCTGAAAGATCATAAACCAAATTTTTCCAACAACCCTACCTGCAGACTTATAAATCCATCGAAATCTGAAATCGGAATTGTCAGCAAGCAAGTCCTTCAGAGGATCAATTCCAAAATTGTCAAATCTACCAGTATAAACCAATGGAAAAATACTGACGCAGTGATCAAGTGGTTTAACAACATGCCTAATAAATCAACCCGCTCATTTATCAGCTTCGATATAGTAGATTTATATCCATCCATATCTGAAGAGCTCCTGAAAGAATCCCTAACATTCGCCTCACAATACGACGAAATAACCGAAAATGAGAAAGCCATTATCATGAAAGCAAAGCAATCGCTGCTCTCTCTCTCTCTCTCTCTCTCTCTCTCTCTCTCTCTCTCTCTCTCTCTCTCTTTCTCT